CCAAATTACAGTTTTAATCTTTGTAACTGAAGCCTGTGTAATTCCAGGTCTAACATTTGGTAAAGATCCTTTGTTCTGTGAGACCCTGTCTGTTCTTAATGTATGTAAAATAAAAAAAAAAAGAAATGGAAGATGATTATCTAACTCATGTTTACACAATTAACAGTTTTAATCCTGAGAATGTAACAGTCTAACATGATGTTTGCATGCAAACTATTGGCTACTTCATTGCTGCTTAATCTGTGTATGATTTTCCAGTCTGTGGTGGCTGTCTTCATGGTCGGGTGGTAACATGCTGCCTCAATGTTGGTGTTAAAATTTATCACATAAAGTATGACCAATCTCTGTTTAATGGTGAGCAACTACAGCTCTTGTTAATTGGTGGCAGCTGAAGGTACTCATCTCCATTTCAGCTGGAGCTGGTTTTGTCTTTGCCTTAAAATACAGAGCTGAAGTCTGCTTTATTTTGTGTCCTGCAGTCTGAGGTCTGTGTGTCCACCGCAGAGGACAGGATTTAGCCCATAGCCTGATCATGGTTTTCATCAGCCCGTGAGAGAGGGTTTGTTCTCACCATGACGGTGCACTTGCACAGTGGCTTGCAAAATGATTCTTTGGATGGGTAGGGTAAAAGTGTGACTGGGACTGCAGCGTGCCAGCCCGGTAGAGGTGGGGAGAGTACTCTCGGTATTCTTCCAATATGTGCTGAAATGAAATATCTCGGCAGAAAATTCTTTCCAATCTACTGAAATTTGATAAGACAGAAGATATATTTTATGAGGACAGAAGTTGGGTGTGTCTGAAATTTTGTAATTTATGTTAATTTTAAATAATAAACCTTAAACAAGCAATCAGTTGTGAGCAGTTAAGGTAGTGTAGATTTTTCAGTCATAGTAGCCAACCTGTTTTTCTGAACCTGCAATGTTGTCCATTTTCCTTTTGCTATTTTATTAATAAAATGTGAATTGAATTTAGTGATGTAAACTAACATTATTCTAGGCTGGTTTTATCAGTTTTATCATACTTTGGGTTGTGAATAAGTAACAAAGATGAATAAAATCTCACTTTTGAGCCTGTCTGTCTTTCCTTAGATTAGTAAGATTTTGCTATTAATCTTTATCCCTTATCAGTAAATAATGGAAGTGAAAAGAGAAGGCTTCCAAATGCTATCTGTGATCCCAGGAACCATGATTTTACTGGGATGGAGGCTGGACTCTATAAACCCAGACTCCATTAAGGTACCACGGCTTCTCCTATCATGCGTACTTATTTGTTCTTTTGCACCTTGATTCAAGCTCCACATGGACGTTCTTGGCTGGTGTAAATGGGTGTTAATTGCCCTACAGGTAGCTTTAATTTTTTTTTTTTCAATGCGATGCATTAAACAGCTTTGTTCCCAGAAGGAACAGTGCAGAACGTGTGAGTTGTATTAGCAAGGCCCCTTTCCCACTTCTTTTAATAAGAAAGAGTCCTTGTAGGTTAATGACACCAAGCACAATATTGTAAAATGCAAACCCGTGCCTGCCTACTACAAACATATCTGTTTAATTTACAATTAGACTACTGTGTTACACAATTGGTTTATGTAGTTCTTCCCAGTATGATGCAATAAACCAATTGTGTAATATAGTAGCCTAATTGTGAATTGAACAGACTTGTTTATGCGTCTTAGGCTTGGTTGTTCCCTGGAAAAATGAATTCATCTTTAATCTGCTCAGCTGCAAATTCCAGTCCCTCTGGCATTCGGTTCTTATTTCACTGAAATTTTCCATCTTTGATTTGAACTTAACTCAGGTAATTGAGAGCAAAGACACCAATTCTACACAGAAACGGAATATATGAGCTTGCAATTTTGATTCAAAGACTATTTTAGTGAAGCCGGTTGGGGTTGGAGTTGGCACTGGTGGTCACTGGGCATACTGCCTCTACAGCTTTTACGGTTGTCTTCTGAACGTTAAAAAATATTTCTGTGCGACTAAATCAGTTGGATTTCTAGCTATTTCAGATTTCTCTATACTAAGATGAACTGCATGAAGAACAAAAAATATCTTTATGGTGAGAGAGGTGCATCCTGTTCAGAACAAGCTCAAAATTGAGCTCGTTTGCAGTATGCAGGTGGAGTTGGGAGGAAGGGAAATGACTCTGGGAGATGGATTCTTGTGAAGTATTTTGCCGGTTTATGTTCTCTCTCATGTGTCAGGCATTGTTTTAATAATAAAAAAGTGTTCCCTTCCGCTTGAAACAACACACCTAAGGATACAGCAAATGCATAGCTCCTAAAAATGTTTAAAATCTCACTGTAAACTGAACTGAGTATAAACCTGATGATAAAGAACATTTCATTAGAATCTTGTGGCTGGAAGCTGAAGTTGTATGAATTCAATCTTGAGCTGAGGTACTATTTCCTAGCAGCTGAGTAAAATAAATATTAGAACAGCTTATCCAAAGATGGCTTTGACAGTTAATTTTTTTTTTTTTTTTTTTTTTTTAAAGGTGACATTACCCTTTTTCCTCCTGAAAAAGCAACCAACCAAATCCCACCTGCTACAGTCTGCTCTGGGGAAAGTTTCTTGCCCTGGGTGGGGGGTAGCCAGCCTGAGCTGTTAGAATTCGGTGTTTGAGGTGTTCCTGGTACCAGTATGTACATACATATGTGCGCACACAGAGAAGTGCAAGGATTTTCAGCGTCTTGAGGTGACTGGGTACTTGTGTACTTAAGCATTGTCAGTGTGCTCAGGGCTGTACAGGGAATGAAAATAAATGGTGATCCCTGCTAGAATCCCTCAGGCCCTGGTATCTATCTGCCACAAAGTAGTCAGGAGTGACTTGAGCTTGTCACTGAGCAACCTTCCCAATTCCCTTGGACTTTAAAGGGAGTGTGGGAACTCTGGGAGGACTGGGGGTTTCCGGTTGGCCATCATCTTTTGTTAGAGGTGAAAGGAAAGAATGGGAGCACTGGAAAAAAGCCCTCTAAGCACCAAACAGCGAGAAGGAATTTCATATTGTGCTTTCTGTAGCAATAGGTGGAGGAAAAGGGTGGTTTCTCATGTGCTGTCAAGTATCTGTAGGTTTCTCTGGGGAAGTGTGTTTTCATCTATGGTTGACATAGGTGTGTGCTCCTACGTGTGGAAAGCAGTCTAAGTTGGTGCTGGATGGGGCTTTTTTCAGCTGCATAAGAAAACAAGTAGCCCTTAAGAGATTCTCAGCTAAATATAGTAGTCTCTTTAGAGATTAACTCTTACTGCTGCAGATAAACAGAGAAGTTCTTATCTGATTAGCCGGCCCCCTCTTGGTGAGGGGTCACCTGCAGCGTGATTTGGAGATTAGAGCCGAGGGCAACTGTTTCCGAGATGTCTTAGGTGCGTTGCCTTTCCGAGTCACGCGGCGTTTTCAATCTCTACCACACTGTCATACCACGTGAAAACTGTTTGCCCCGTTCAGCACTCGCTCATGTTGCCGATGCAGCATGGGTTAAAGGAAGGAAGGGCTGGGAATCTTGACAAAGTTACCCTAATGCCAGTTAACGTTGGGCAGTCTGACCCATCTGTCTTTGAGAGGAACCCTAAGCAGGAGCCCTACCAACTGTGCTGAAGGGGATGGCAGAACTTGCCTGTTCTCTCCGTTTTTCTTGAAAATGAGATGGATGCATTCCTTACTCGCTTTTCTGAGAAATCCTGCTGTTAATGTTCTCTCTTTCTCCAGCAAATTTAACTTTCTAGTCCCTCATCAGTTACCTTTCCCTGACTTGCTGAATGGCCCATGCCCATTGCTTGTTGCCCTTCCCAAACTGGATACAGGCCCCAGCTGCTGTGTAAATGCCTTTGCTCTTCTGAAGTCGATAGCCCAGCGCTGATTTTCGCCTGCAGTCTGTCCCTCTGCATCCTGCTCCCTTGAGTCTGTTCCTTCTGGTTGCACGTTAACCAGCCAAGGGTTTTCCCATTCACTGCGTCAGCAGGGCTTTCGGTTTGGCTGGTTGGCCGTGGTTTCGTTCCCTCAAATAGAGTCTTGCTCTGCGACTGCGCTGGTAACAGTGGGCGTTACAGGGGGTGCTGCTTCCAGGTGTGAGGCCTTCCTCCACAGAGGATGATGGTAGTAGCAGAATGGTTTATCGTAGGCTTAGCTTAGTAATGAAACTCTATTATTTCCAAAGCTACTGCTCATTCCAGCCATGTGAGACCTCACCTTAACTTCGTTTGGGACATTCTTTCAGATTTGTGTGTATTTGTCTTCTCTGGGCTGGTTTTGTGGTGGTTTCAGCTGCGCTTGGATTGGTTCATCCATTCTGTTTGGGTTTCCTTCCAAATTTACCATACTTCCTAAAAGCTTTTTTCTTAAGGTGCCTTCACACAGCTGGCTAAGCTGCTTTGATTGGCATTGTGTTGGGAATGTTATTTCTGTGTTTGAGGAAGAAG